TCCCCCCCCCGAGCCAGCAAGGACTTGAACAGCTCAGGCTGCCTGAAGTGTGGAAGCCAAGTTTAATCTGGTGTCAAATCACTCGAAAACAATTTGATTTTGCTCCTGCAGTTGCTTGTCAGTGCGGTGTGTACACCAACGTGTGTGTGTTTCTTGCTCCTTTAATGCCAAATGCCCTAACCCCTCCCTGCTTGCACACGACCAAGCATGGCTCTTAATAAAGGGATAAAAGCTACCAGCTAAGAAGCTTGGGATGACCACAAAGGAATTAAGTGTTCTTTCCCAGCGAGGCTCTTTGGCCTGGTGAAAGGCGGCCTGCTGTGCCGGCTGGAGGAAAGCAAGCAGCAGTTGTAAGAGCTGAAAGGAAGGGACCTTAAAGCTCATCTTGTTGCAACCCCCTGCCCCGGGCAGGGACCCTTCCCACCAGCCCAGGTTGCTCCAAGCCCCGTCCAACCTGGCCTGGGGCATTGCCAGGGATGAGCCACCCACAGCTTCTCTGAGCAACCTGTTCCAGTGTCTCACCACTTTCATAGTAAATAGTATCTTCCTAATATCTAATCTAGTGCAGCAATGCCCCTGTCGGAGCTGGTTCCTCCAGCCCATTCGCCCGCGGAGCTGCCAAGCAGAACGCGGGAGGTGAGAGTAGCCACGTCCCTCGAACACTGGCCTTTCCAGCTGCCTGGCTCTATTGACAGAGCCCTGAGAGTCCAGCAAGAAACAAGACATTTTTTCCTTCAGCTGAGACTGTTGGTATTTAGAACAGAAAAGGCCCTTATGCCTGTCCCGGCTGCACCAGGTACCTGAGCATAAAGCGACACTGTGTGGAACAGGGCAGCCCTGTGTGCGGGCGTGCGGAGAGTGCTGCTAACAGGGTTAACAAACAGCCTGTTGCAATGGAAGCGACGGTACCGATGGGTTTTCTTTTCCTGGAAACGTGTTCCCAGTTTTGACACAAACAGATCTGATTTTTTCTTTTTTTTTTTTTTTGCCTCCTTTCTTCCCGTTCTCCCCAGCTTGGCAGTTGCAGCTTCACAGGGGTTTGGGGTGCTTAGTTTTGCGAGCGGTGTTTTGCCACGAGTTAATTTTCTGTCGTTGCCATGAGTTTTGCAAAACGGGGTGATGAAGAGGAGTAGCGAGCAGAATTCCCCCTTCGAACTGAGAGATGCAGACCCTGGGATTCCTCAAATGCCTTGTTCCCACTGGTGTTTCCAGCATGGCTGTTACTTCTGCCTCCCCTCCTTCTGCAAGCAGGCACTCTGCCATTAGCTGTGGCCCTCCCAAGTGCACAGATGTCACAAGACAAATGGGGTTTAATTGCTGGGCATCTCTCCCAAAGGCACAGCCTAGATGATTTAAAACAGCCCAAGGATGAATTCATCAGCCGGGTAGGCAAAGCAGCGTGGAAAAGTGAGTTTGCAGCTAGATTAAAAAACAACCAGGGATTTCAACCAGCTCAGAAGCAAGGAGAGAGGTTTGCTTAACACTGGTCAGAGGTTCAGGGCAGGAAACATGGGACTGGAATTAAAATGCAGGTTGAGAAGCTTCTGCTTGGGCTCCTTGCCCGAGTTACTCTTCTCTGCTCCAGCATCCTTCAGCAAGATCCGTCTCCTCAGCAGTGTCGAGTCTTGCCTTGATCTTCCCCAGAGGGCAAATGCAAGTTACGGGGGGGATGAATATTCCCCCAGCAGTCCTCTAGATGCTGAAGAGTATCTTAAATGCCCTTTTCTGCCCAGGAAACCTGGTACTGGCACGGAGATGTCAGCGCCGACAACGTAGTCATGAGCGGTGTCAAGTGTTCGGGGACGGAGATGTCCCTGGCCCACTGTCGTCACGATGGAGCCCACGTCTCTTGTCCCAGAGGAGGTGGTCGCTTCGGTGCTGGTGTGTCCTGCTCGGAGAGTAAGCAACTCGGCTTTTATTTCATTTTGGCATTGTGTGCCCTGGCTGGCCCAGGGCATCCCAGCACAGCGGCGTATCGCTGCTGACGGGGCTGACCCACACTTGTGAGTGCGCTGGTGGTTTTTTAGGAGCTCATCAGCTCATTTCAAACCTTCTTTCCCTCCTGGCAGCTGCCCCCGACCTGGTGCTCAACGCCGAGCTGGTGGAGCAGACGGCTTACCTGGAGGACCGGCCGATGTTCATGCTGCAGTGCGCGCTCGAGGAGAACTGCCTGGCCAGCTCGGCCGTCAACACCTCCATCACGTCTGGCTACCGGCGCCTGCTGCGCTTCTCTTCCCAGATCCACAACAACGGGCAGTCCGACTTCCGCCCCAAGAACGGCCGCCACGCCTGGGTCTGGCACGACTGTCACCGGTGAGCGACGCCGGGGCGGTTTTTGCGCGGTCGGTGCCTCCTTCCAGCTTTTTCCACCACCCGGCAGGGACTGGGTTGTGGGGGGGGGGGCGGGGGGGGG